GAGGGACCCAAACCGAACCAAGACCTACGCATTCCTTATATTCATTTGCATTGAAATTGCCTTCTTTTCTTTTGTGGTTGGTCCGTGGAACGGACGGGAAATGGCTTCTTGACTTTGCACAAGGCAGCCAGAAAATGGCAGATACTGAGGGAGGGGCTTCAGAGCGCAGGAAGCTGAGTCGAAATATTGACAAACTGTTGTTGCTAGCTGAGGGTTAATTATTAAAACCGAGGCGAAAACGCATACATCATCCTGACAACATCCCCTGACTGCTACGCATTGATTCATGTTCCGATAACTTCTCGTAAACCGGCCCGGGCGTTAAGCTAGATCAAGAATGCGTCGAGAGTAATCACATACCAGAGGCAACTTTACTTTTACGTGATCGTCTACCAACTGCATCTGCAAGCCTCTCTCGAGGAACAAGTTCCGCGCAGACCGAAATACATTGCAACAGAGGTTTAAATATAACGTGCTTCCCACCCCAACCTCATCCTCTTAAGCCCAGAGGACAGAAAGTGAGTGAAGAGGCAGTTTTCTTTATTGCTTTTAAATGAAACGCATTTAAAGTAATTAAGCTATGCCTCTCTGTAGCTCTTGAGTAGCAAAAATGAAACCTAGCGTAAGAGATAAAGACTTGAAAAGGGAAACTTTGTGAAGAAGGAAATTAAGATTCAAAAACTCTCTCCCTCCCTTCTAACCTCCCGCTTTCTCCATCTGTCTGCGCATAATGTTAATTCTCTCCACTGGGAATCCTTTACGATGCCCATGACATGTGAGTTGAGGGACGTTTTCAGGTTCAGTGCTATAAATGCTCCTGTTACCATGGTAACGGCACTCAGCTTCGATTGTCAGATGTTAATGGACGTAGTAAACGTAACAAACTCCTTTGTTTTTATAGTACATTTAAATCTCTATCTTTATCCTGATTTTATCTACCCCTCTTGAAAATTGTAAACTCTACAATTTTACCCTTCCACTTTCTGTACTATTCACACTAATCTGACAAGGTCCGGAAGCGACAAGAAGATATTAAAATGACAAAAACTAATTTCCTTCTCAGGGGACCTAGTAGTTACTTATTACTGTAATCGTTACTTCTCTATACTAATGGTTCGTATAAATATTCATGGCCACTTCTTCGCAGTTTGATGTTCCAGAAAGATCTGTGTTGCAAGAAGGGCGGATGATAAACTGCGACCATTTTCAATTCTAAAGGGTTTTGACGACGGTAGTTTACACTCAAAATTATTTGTTGTCAGGACTTTTTACATCGTCTGTTTTTTAAAATTCACGACATTTCGGAGGCTGGTTCTGTCTGTCTACTCTGTTGGGTCCCTTAGAAGGAGCTAGTCTCTGTAAAAACAGACGATGGAAAAAGTCCTGACAACAAATAATTTTGAGTACGGTATACATTTCCAGCCTTATCTGTGTAGCTAACGACAACCTACAGCGACGGAGGGAGCATACGAAACGTGTACACTGATCGTCGAGACAGTGGACACTTTCAGTTAAAAGATTCACATAATAAAATAAGACCAGTGACACAGAACTTAATAACTATAAATGTATCTGGGGTCTAAAATCAACGGATCGAGCACGTCCTGCAGCACACTCTTGCGTTCGGAAAACAAAGCTTCTCCTGTCTATTTCATCTCACCAGATGAAAACAATGATCAGAAGAACTACGACAACACGTTGAGGGACCCAAACCGAACCAAGACCTACGCATTCCTTATATTCATTTGCATTGAAATTGCCTTCTTTTCTTTTGTGGTTGGTCCGTGGAACGGACGGGAAATGGCTTCTTGACTTTGCACAAGGCAGCCAGAAAATGGCAGATACTGAGGGAGGGGCTTCAGAGCGCAGGAAGCTGAGTCGAAATATTGACAAACTGTTGTTGCTAGCTGAGGGTTAATTATTAAAACCGAGGCGAAAACGCATACATCATCCTGACAACATCCCCTGACTGCTACGCATTGATTCATGTTCCGATAACTTCTCGTAAACCGGCCCGGGCGTTAAGCTAGATCAAGAATGCGTCGAGAGTAATCACATACCAGAGGCAACTTTACTTTTACGTGATCGTCTACCAACTGCATCTGCAAGCCTCTCTCGAGGAACAAGTTCCGCGCAGACCGAAATACATTGCAACAGAGGTTTAAATATAACGTGCTTCCCACCCCAACCTCATCCTCTTAAGCCCAGAGGACAGAAAGTGAGTGAAGAGGCAGTTTTCTTTATTGCTTTTAAATGAAACGCATTTAAAGTAATTAAGCTATGCCTCTCTGTAGCTCTTGAGTAGCAAAAATGAAACCTAGCGTAAGAGATAAAGACTTGAAAAGGGAAACTTTGTGAAGAAGGAAATTAAGATTCAAAAACTCTCTCCCTCCCTTCTAACCTCCCGCTTTCTCCATCTGTCTGCGCATAATGTTAATTCTCTCCACTGGGAATCCTTTACGATGCCCATGACATGTGAGTTGAGGGACGTTTTCAGGTTCAGTGCTATAAATGCTCCTGTTACCATGGTAACGGCACTCAGCTTCGATTGTCAGATGTTAATGGACGTAGTAAACGTAACAAACTCCTTTGTTTTTATAGTACATTTAAATCTCTATCTTTATCCTGATTTTATCTACCCCTCTTGAAAATTGTAAACTCTACAATTTTACCCTTCCACTTTCTGTACTATTCACACTAATCTGACAAGGTCCGGAAGCGACAAGAAGATATTAAAATGACAAAAACTAATTTCCTTCTCAGGGGACCTAGTAGTTACTTATTACTGTAATCGTTACTTCTCTATACTAATGGTTCGTATAAATATTCATGGCCACTTCTTCGCAGTTTGATGTTCCAGAAAGATCTGTGTTGCAAGAAGGGCGGATGATAAACTGCGACCATTTTCAATTCTAAAGGGTTTTGACGACGGTAGTTTACACTCAAAATTATTTGTTGTCAGGACTTTTTACATCGTCTGTTTTTTAAAATTCACGACATTTCGGAGGCTGGTTCTGTCTGTCTACTCTGTTGGGTCCCTTAGAAGGAGCTAGTCTCTGTAAAAACAGACGATGGAAAAAGTCCTGACAACAAATAATTTTGAGTGCGACCATTTTGTTCACTAATTTGGAAGCATGTCTCCTGAGCTCCGCCAATAATACCGGATACAGTTTTGTGGGGTAAGGAGATAAATTAGCATATGATCTTACAAACCTGTTTACTCCAGTAAGAAATTTCTTTAACATAATACTTTAAAAGAATTTTTCTTCACTGTCTCTTACCATTTAGAAACCATCAATGCCATCAAATACTCATATCTAAAGAAACCAAATGTCCCTCTTGTTCTATTAGAAGATGCTGAAAGGAATTAATTCATTCATGAAAATATGACATTTAATCAACTCACAAAAATCCGTGCTTCTTTCGAACTAACAAAATAAACACCTCATTCATAAAAGACGGTCACTGGATCTCCTTAACTAATTAAACATAGTCATGACCGTTTCCTCTACGAGCTATTTAAAATATTAACCTTCTATCTTTGCCTAGGTCTCCCAAGTGCTCTCTTACGTTTTGGTTTCCCGACCACGACTTCCTGGTTTGTCCCCTTTCCTCGACGTATACTTATCATTCTAATATTATTAGATGAAGAATAAGGGAAGAACATAGACTGGAGATGTTTGATACAGGGGTGCTGAGGATGATATATGACCTTAGAGAGATGGCGTGACAGGATGCTGGAGAAAGTTTCATAATGAGGAGCTTTATAATGTTTACTCTTCAACAAATATTATTAGGATTCTCAAAGCAAGGAAAATTGGATGGGCGAAACATACAGCGCGCGTGGGAAGATTATAAGTGCGTTCAAAAATCTGGTTGGAAAGCCTGAAGGGAGGGGACCACTCGGGAGACACAGCAGTAGATGGGAAGATAATATTAAAGTAGATTTGTAGAGCGGAGGATGTGCATTAGATTTATCTAACTCGTGTGGCAGGCTGTTATGGATACGATATTAAATATTCGTGTTGCATAAAATACAGGCGATTAGCTCACTAGCTGAACGTATTATCAGCTTCTCAGAGACTCTGCTCCTCGGAGACAGATGAGTATAATTGATGTGTTTCTTCACTGTTAATTTCTGAAACATCAACGGGAAACTGCACAGAAACCAAGATTTTGTAGTTCTAGTTCGGTCCTCACTACTCTATTTGCATTCATGGGTTTCTTGTTTTTAATTTCAAGCGTTAGGCTGTTTAAGCACTGCCGATCTGCACAAAATCTCGTGAAATACGCCGTTACCGGAGAAAAATTTCG